TATATGAGCAGAAGGCAACATAGGGGATACTTCTAACAGAATTCAGATGAGAAAATTCTGTTGTAAAATAATTTATTAATCTAATAAAAGACATCTTAATGTAAGAATCATAAACATAGCATAGAGGAAATTTGAATTTTCACATAAGAAAAAGATCAAAAGTGTGTAACTCAAAGAGACAGTGCAAATTATTCAAGCTTACACATTTTATCCTTTAGTTTCATTCCTAATAAAGTCAAGCTAAATAGAGGTATTTGCCTTTCTCACAAGTCTTCTTCATACAGGACTCAACAACATCAAAATATGCATAGCAGAAGTTTACAGATTTAGTGGAGAACCAAGATCATGAGAAAGATGGGCAGAGATGTTATCACTGGATAACTGGTTGTGTGTGTGTGTGTATATGGTAGGGGTAGGGGTTAATCAGTGGTTGCTTAGAGTCAGAAGCTTGTCAGGACTTAAAGACTGTGAGCCCAACTCATGGACCAGGAAGTCCAACATACTGTGTTTAAAAATAAGACGAGGGTCTGGGGACCAAAATGCTAAAGTAGATTATAATAGGAACCTGTGTTAAATATACATCTATGGAAGCACAGCCATGAGGAAAAAGTTGAAGATATTATATATTTTTTCATTATTTCATAAACAGAAACTATATCTACCCCTAATAATTAAGATTATTAATATCTACCCCTAATTAATAAATACATCTACCCTATAATTAAGGTTTCAGTGAATTCAGATGTTCATCTGAAAAAGTGCTTCATTTGAGTATGTTGTAGGCATTAACATTTTGGGGACTTTTTTTATTGAATTATAGTCAGTTTACAATGTGTCAATTTCTGGTGTACAGCATAATGTTTCAGTCATACATACACATACATTTATTTGTCTTTATATTCCTTTTCATTATATGTTGCTACAAGATATTGAATTTAGTTCCCTGTGCTATACAGAAGAAATTTGTGTATCTATTTTATATACAATAGTTAGTATCTGCAAATCTTGAACTCCTAATTTATCCCTTTCCATCCCCTTTCACCCCTGGTAACTGTAAGTTTGTTTTCTATGTCTCTGAGTCTGTTTCTGTTAGACATTAACATTTAATATGACAAAGAAATCATCTCAATGAATTTGGAGCAAAAAGAATGGATTCCTTCCAGATGTTGAAATAGCATTAGAAAATATAGCCTTAAACTTAAAATGGAGTGGTCTTCTTGATGTTTGAAATTGAAAACTTTTTTTTTTCCTGGAAACTCCTTTAAAAATGATTACTTTTTTTGACATGCTTATAAAAACCATTTAACTCATTTGATAGTAGTTGCACTATACTATTTCATGTTCTAACAGAAAAAGATAAGAAAATGGAGGGTCAGTATCCTCAGCCATGACCAGAGGAAATAAGCATAAAATCTGCAGAAGAAACTCCCTTACCTCAGAGAACAAAACTAAACTACATAAACACATTCATTTACACTCTGTTCTTAGTGGACTAGGATTAGACACAAGGGAAAGGGTTCACGGGTTAGGAGGTGGGATTGGACATTAGGATGGCTGGTAACTATGGCAGCTTTCAGGGACTGGGTTCTCCACTCTAAGAGGACAGACCTTAGATTTCCTTCCAAGTTGCTTTGATTGGTAGTTTAGCAAGGATTCTGATGAGAGTAAGATGAACTTGTAACTCCTGTAGAAAAGAATGTACTCCAAGTGGGGAAGAACACCAGCATTAGTTCCTTATGGATTTATTTAAGCAGGAAAGGTAGTATGAAGAGCTTCAGCTCCCAGAGCACAAGGGCTGGGATCTTTCCAAAGAAGACTACAATCTTTGATACTTAACAAAGGCCTGCTAAGGAAAAATCATTGCTAAGGTAGAGGTCAACTTTTATCAATGTTGACATGGACAAAACTGCAAAGATGAGAGTTTGTTAGGCATTAACCACTCATAATTGTTTATCCTTGGTGATGATCGGATAGTTTTATATGTCTCAATGATTGTTTAAAATGCCACAGACATATTTGAGTTCAGCAAGATTCTTATGTATGTCACTCTAGATATTAAAGGAGAATAATAGTATAGAAACAAATGCATTTGGCAGGATGACCATACACTCCAGTTTTCCTGGGGCAGTCTCAGTTTAAACCTATTGCCTTGACATAATTATTAACTGCACCCCTTTCACTTCAAAAGTGTCCTAATTTGGATGGAAAACTATGTGATCTTACTAACTGGTAGATCCTAAAAGACGCTAAACTAACAGATGTTGAAGATCTCCAGTTACCTTCAATTCATACTTTTGGTCTACTTATGTGCTTTGGCTAGAAATTAATGTTTCCTCACTTTCACTCAAATAATCCAGCACAAAATGTTATTTGTATCATGTTTCATTAGTTTTTGCCAGGATCAAGATAGTGTCACAAACATTTAGAAATGGAAGGGCAAAAAATAAGAGAAGTCATTACAATTCTTAATCAAATAGTGAAACTGCATTTCAGTTCTCAGGTTATGTCGCAGCCTAATCTTATCATTTGTACTCATCTAGTCACTGTTCTTAGAAAGGTTTGTGTATCGCTACGAAGATAATGAAGAAGTGGATCTAATTGAAATTCTGGTATTTAATGAAAACAGCAGCTAAATAAAGTAAGCTCTCATAACAATATCTACCCTGCCTATTTGCAAGGGATGGGACTCATCCTTTTGTGGCTTTCCTTTCTGCAGTGCAACATAATATACTGTAGTAATATAGGATATTGACACACAATAAATCATACATAAAAGGAAGGAAAATTTCGATCACATAGAACATAATAAGATAATCTTCATGGTGTCCAACACATTTGAAATAATGTCTGTTTTTCATTGGCTGTTTTATTTTGCTAACAGACCACTGAAAAAGATGGTGGTTGAGGGGCTCTGTTTATTTTAATAATAAACAGAAGAATGTCATGTCTAGTTTCTTGCTTTTTGTTATACATTTTTTGATTAAATTCTTCTAGGCTTTTATTATTACCAAGAGTACTTATGAAGGTCCCACCCTATATGCATAATGCAACTTAAAAAATCACTCTTCTACGTAAAAACTTGTACTAGATCCCTGTTATGGACTGGATGTTTTTGTCTCTCCCAAATTCATATTTGATATTATTGATATTATTAGGAGGTGGGGACTTGGGGGTCAGCAGGTCATGAGAGCAGAGACCTCATAAGTGGGATTAATACTCCTATAAAAGAAGCCCTGAGGAGATCCCTGTCACTTCCACCAAGGGAGGACACAGCTGGAAGGCCCCATCTACAAGGAAGATGGCCCTCACCAGATACTGAATCTACTGGGTCCTAGATCTCAGACTTCCTAGTCTCCAGAACATTGGAAACTGTTGTTAGAAGCCATCTGGTCTCTGGTATTAGAGTAGTTGGCAGGAACTAAGGCATTCCTCATTCACTTGAATTATGGAGACTAAACAGTGGCTATCACATGGCTTACAAGGGACTTAAAAACTTGTTCAACTATTGATAAATTAGCCACACTGAGCTACTTTAAGCCATGCTCTCTCAAAAATCATTGCCTGTGAACAGGATACTCCCTGTGCCTGGAAGTCTGTCCTCCCTGCAACTCTTCCTTACCCAGAGAACTAATTTCCTTCTGTTCAATATGAAATCAAATGTCAGCTCCCCAGAATAGTTTCCACAACCAATTCCCCATATTCTTCCCCATCTAGATCTTTTAATTGTACCTCTGCTGAAGCAACTTTCCACATCTTCTGTGTGTGTATGTGTGTCTGGCTCTGACTGTCTCATCCTGGATAGTATGTTTCTTAAGGAAAGGGACTAAGCCATCCACCAATGTATCTCCATCTTCCAACACAAAGCAAAGCACACAACAGATGCTCAATTAATAGCGATTCATTAATGATTGAGTAGACAGAGAAATGAAGTATAAATAGAAATGTTACAGAATTAAAGAGATTTATTCATTCATTCATCTCAAAATCATAGTTTGGGTACCTACCATGTTCCAGAAAACATCCCAGCAGTTTCTAGGGAAATTATTGCGATAAGAATCAGTTTCTGTCTGTAAGTTTACCACCTAGTGAAGTAACTCACAGTCTAGATTTTGCTTCATGTGATTTAAAATTTAAGCAAAAGAGAAAATGTTAAAAGGCAGGTTAGAAAACTGTCACTTCCAAAAATAAAAAGCCCAAAACCTTACATCTCTTAATGTCAAAATTTAAAACACAAGTGTTTATCTTCACTTTTTGATACAGGGAGGAGACTGAATACTTAATATACCACTGTACTGTACAGAAGCTAGTGTATTTGGTACTCACAAAAGTCCTTAGGGTATATTTCCAAGATGTGACCCCAAGTGTGAGTTTATGCTCTTAGCCACCTAACTGTACTCATTCCAGAGTTTTAGGTTACAAATTATTAAATGCTTAAATGATTGTATATATCATGCTGTTTACCCCAACACTAACATCCTGAAGTATAGTATTACCACAATGACACAGATGGAAATGACTTGCCCAGTGTCATGCATTTCAAATGCTAGACTTTGGATCTCACACTCTCCTATGGATTTGCTGCTTTTATTTGTAGACATTTTACCTATTTTATTTATAATAATCTGTCTATATGCAATATTTCTTATTTATAATTTCCAGTTTTGGAGAATTTAAATTTCTGTCAGGGCAACTGACAAAATTTTCTCTTTCTAAATATATGAGTCACTCTCTCAAGAGATAATTTGAAATAAAACAATAAATTATTTGTTGGGAGTAGAAAAGGAAAATTAAACTTATAAAACAGAAATAGATATATTTTTCTTTTTGTTTATTGTATTCTACATAGAACTTTGGAAAACATAAGGTAATTTTCAGCAGCAGTCCTGAATCTTAGAAATCCTAAATTAGAAAGGACTAAAGAAATGAGACAAAAAAAGGAAAACTTATATATCATAATTTACTCATGTGTTCTGTAATTTTCAAAGAAAAGAGTAATTTTGTTAAACAGTCCTTCTTTATGCTCTTCAGCTTGAATATACAAACCTTTCCTGTGTCCAGAACAATGTAGAAAAAGAAAGAAAATAGAAAAATGGCATTTAGAGAAACATGCATTATGTCAGTTAAACAGTATATTCTAAAATTATTTGACATTTGTTGTCTGCAGCAAATATATGATGCCTAGTCTTGCTTATTCTTTTGTTTTAACTCAGATATTGTAGCCACCCAGTTATTTTCTATTCACTTACATTAGGAACATAGATGCAGGGGCTTCCATGACAGTTAAATGGATGAGTTACAATATCAGTAAGAAAAATATCTGGACATTATAATAAATGCTTTTGTAATTCCTCAGTTAAAGGAAATAATTTACCCTCTGAACAATATCCTTATTACCCTAGGGTTGCTTGAATATAGGTGGGAACTATGGTCAATTACCTTACTTTCCATGGATCTCGAGTCTACTGATTGACAGATGTAAATTTCTTTATAAACGTGAAACAATAAGAGACTGGTAAATGGTGCGCAATTGTTGGAAGTTCATTTATAATGCAATGATTGGGCAAGTGGAAAGAAACTGTACATCTAGCAGAAATATTATTTGTACTTGTTAGAGCTATATAAAATATAGATTGAATAAGACTAAGCTGGCAAGGGGGGACTACATTCTGTTTCTATTTTTTCAAGAAAAATATAGTAATAATATTACACATTACTATACTCAGGTGTGGAATAAAATATAAATAAGTTGAAGCAGGGCTTTTACACAGATGTTATCCTTTGTTTCGCACAGGGGCCTGAGGAGTAACTGTGAATAGAATATTCTTTATCTAACCACCTCATTCTTTCTTCCCTAAAGCTACCTTTATATGTTACGAGATCCTTGGAATATTTTTGCTATTTTTTTAAAGTTTATCATATTCACAATGATAATGAGTCCCACATCCTTAGGGATGCCAGTGTCCTTATGTTGCTTCAGAAGGTATGTTCATAAAGAGGCAAATATAGGTGAAAGACGTCCATCTGTAGAGAACTCTCTTCTGATCGTAGCTTGGTATAGAATTCGGTTTTGAAAATTTTTAATCCTTTAACTTCCTATGTGTCATTTTAAATATCCCAGACTCAAAATCAGTAGCATTCTTCAATACTACTATACTAGAATGAAAATCATCTCTGATATCTACAAGAGAATTCATTCATTCAAAAATTTCAATATTCATTCAAAAATATTAGTCACATTCTTGCTTTCAAATTTATAATAATCTCTGTATAAATGCATTTTATTTCTTTATGCAACGAGATGGAAAATATATGACTGGTGGCACTATTTTTTTCAGAGTTGTACAGAAATAGCAGAAGAAACTCATGCTAATTTTGTCTTCATTAAAGATATTAGTAAATAGCAGTACTTTCTTCTAAATAACTTCAGAACTATCTGATTCAGGATACATTAATGTTTCAAATGGGTCACAGTGGTACTGAAATATTCAAACCCTTGAACTACTGGAGTGCCACTGACCTCAGTGTTCTTATCCACCTCCTTCAATGTTCTGTAAAAAATGATATCTTTCTTGCGAGCCATGATATTAAAAAGGTTGGGAAAAACTGAAAACCATCAAAAAAATCATGCCACATGACAAGCATCAGAGGAATGAAATTCGCAACTGAAGAGTACATATTTTTAAATTATTACTTGTACCATAGTCCAGTGATTCTAATGGCATGATCATTTTTTGGTGGTAAGGTGTTCAATTCCTCCTTTGATATGACTGATTTTACACAAAATGTGTTTCATATACACCTTTTTTATTCCAGTTACTGTTATTTTATGATTATGACTTTAACATAATAATTGTTTTATGTTTTAACTAGTAATTTATTATGGGTTAAGAAATCAGCTAATCGAGCCTATTTAGAAAGGTATATAAAATAAAATTAAGGACTTTTGGGGCATGGATTGGGTGCTGTATGTTTTGGTTTTATGTGTGTGTTTTTTTAAATTGTTGTTGATAGTGTTACTTTTAATTTAACTATTTTCTTTTTATCTTTACTTTTTGCCCATTTTACTTACACTATCAATTGATGAATTGGACTCAGTTATTTCCAGGGTGCAGAAAATAAAGTGTAACCATTTGGTAAATGTTTGAAAAGTAAGTTGCCTTAAATTTTACTTACTTTATATAGAAGATTTTTTCAAAATATGAATTTAATTTTGCATTATTATCATGATTCAATTCAATTATCGATTCAACTGTTCAATATAGAATGTCACAATGTCAATAAGAAGTGTCACAAACTGGTTATAATACTGTACTTAATTCTCATTATGATTATTTTATAGATTTTGGCATAATTTTAATCTGTGTATTTTAACTTTGAGAACATTGGTTATTATAAAGAAGCTGATATATTTATGTTATTGCTATTTTTATAGAGTTGCTTGGGACTTAAGAATTGTTCTCTATATTGCCTCTTCTATTTTAGAGAGGGACTTTTGGCGAACCTCTTTTCCCTATTTCCTTTAATTTCCTCAATACAGTTTGATGAGACTCATGGATTAAGGACTCAAGGTCATGTGATGTAGACTGCACATTGCCTGGAAATCAGAATGATCTAGCTGGGTGACTTTGAACAAGTGATCTTGCCAAGTTGGCCTCAGTTTCCTCAGGTGTAAAGTTAGCCATTGTAAGTAGATTTCCTTTAGTTGACAAGATTTGAAATTATACGAAAAATTAAAAATAATGACATTTAGTATGTATTTGGTGTTTCTTCCACATCTTTCTAACAGCTGCATTTCATTTATCATCCATCCAACTAGCCATTCAACATTTAACCAGCAAATGTTATTGAGTATCTGCCATATACTAGACTCTGTACAACACACTAGAAATCAAAACATAATAACCAATTGTTCTGCCTTTAGGGGATTCAATTAATGAATAATCACTTAATCACTACTGCGTGCTATGCACTGGGCAAAATACTAAAAATTCAAAAGTAAATAGGACAAACTGTTAAACTCTAACAGTTAGATAAAGAACTACATTATAATAGGATAAGCAGTGTGTGCTTACAACACACTATAGAAGCACAATGGGGAAAGTAATGAACTCTGAAGAAGTCCATGAAGTTTTTGAAAAAATAACATTTGAGATGATCATTGTACCCTAATTGACACTCTTATAATCAATGGGTAGATATAGTTAAGATATCCTATAAGTAGTGTTTAATTTCATCCTCCAAAAACTTTTAATGACCATCTTAATCAAACATTTACTACACACTTTCCATGTAAAAAGCACAGACAGTATGGACTGTGTCCATAGATAAGTTAGTAACTCCACATAAACAGTGCAGACAGTAAATTCTCTAGAAATTTAGGGTAGGGCAAAATCACCATAAGCTGAGACACTGGAAAAGATCTCAACAGAAGAGATGATACATGAATGTGGCTCTGGAGAGGTAGAATCCAGAATTTGAAAAAGGAAGCCTTTTTTATAACACCATAGAATCACAATTTTACAATGTCTTCCTAGTCCATTGAGCTGAAGTAAAATATTTCTGTAAAGAACAGTCAACATGTAATTTGCAGTGTATCAAAGGGTTTTATTGTGAGACGTCTTTATAAGTGGAAGAAACTCGCATCGCCATGGGGAGCTATGGAAAGGTTTCAGCTGTGGGTAACAAGTGATCACATATACCTTACAGAGCATAAGTTCTAGAACAATCATCCTCCTTTCCTTCCTTATAGGGGCACTTGGGAATCAACTGGTATTTCTCCTTTTAAAGTAATTTCCCTTGGGATTCTTCTTTGCTCCTTATTGCTAGTAGTGGTTCTGAGGGTAAATCAAGGCAAAATAAAAAATGAGGCAGTATCTCCTATGGATAATTTACATTTAAAACATCATCATACCAAGTAATGTCCAAGTGCATGGGTCTCTGGTTCGAGGAGTCTCTAGTGTGTCATTATTTCTTCATATCAGAATAGGTTTGCCCAAGTGAATGCAACTTAAACATTGTGACTAGGCAGGCTCACCCAAGAATAGTTATCCAGCTAATTGTATATGTGTGAATTTATATTTATGACTGACTTCTGATTTCTTCACAGATCCTATATTTCTCACCTTGATTTATTCAGCTTTCCTGCCTGGTAATGACTCATTAGAAAGAATGTGACACTTGGTTCCTTTCAACTCATACTTGAACTGCATATTTGGGCTGTTTGCTTAATTTACAAGGCATTTATCTTTACCTTATTTTCTGGCGTGATTAGTATGATCAACTTGCTTTTCTGCTCTGTCTTTAAACACCTGTGTTTCTTTTCTTTGCTTGTTAACGGGGAATTTTTTTCCAATTGTAGAATTACATTTTTAGTATTGCATTTCATTTTTGATGTCAAGAATTTCCTATGTTTAAACAGCAATGTGACACTTAAGAAAAACATTACAATGCACCCCTTTTCCATGTGTTTATTCTTTAAGAGAGTTCAAAGCTTGTTTTCTCTCTTTAACAGACTACAAGTTTGTTTAAACACTCTTTATTAAGGGGTCACTGTGTTAAAAGGCTGCCAAGAGCCATAAAGAGAAACCAACAAAATTATTGCATTTGTTCTTTTGGGTCTTGCATAGGCAGAGAACAAATCTTGATTTTGAATACAGAAAAGGGGACCCATGCAATCATAAGCATATTTAGAGCAAAGACCATCACACAATATATAAAAAGTAACATTTTGTGATAAGAATTGTTATATAAGACATGAACTCTTTTGTTTTTGTTGAAATTGAATAATAATAATTGAAATATTTTTCTAGAGCAGATAAGATAGCAGGGGATTTCTGAAACAGAGGTTATCTCTGACCTCTCTTTCTGAAATATGTTTTAAAAGTCTATGATTAAATGGAATAGAGAGATAGCCCAGGAGACTTTTAATCCAAAATGACTAAATACTGATATGCCTAACTTTCCACTGAGTCGAACACTCTCAGAAGGACACTAGAGATGAAAATATATATTGTTTTAATGTCCTTAACAATAACACAACCTATAAAAC